CATATTCTTCAGTTTCTGCTCGGTTTTTTCTTCTCTTTGCAAAGTTCTCATAATAAGCATTTTGTCAAGTTTTGTAACTCAGTAATTTGTTGTGTAAGGTTGGATGGCTCAGTTGATCGATATAGACAAATGGATATGACAATTGGAGCAAAAGAGATGAGGATAGCAGAACTTGAAGCCAAGTGAGTACAAATCACGTTCATCATAAAAGAGATTTTGGCGATTTTTTTTTTTAATTTTGGCTTATTTTTTGGAGTAAATGAAATCATCCAGTCATGTTGTGGTTTTATCTTTATGGCCAAATATTTCATCTGTGAGTCACTCTCAAACAAAGCTTTTTACTTACAGGTTTCCAAAAGGTTAGGATGAGTCATATACTCGTCAAATATTTTAAGGATATTAAATAAGGCTTTTTTCATCTATATCGCGTTTCAAATTATCGTCAAACCCTTGAAGTGGTCGTTCGATATATTGATAGTTTTCAATGATCTTCTTAAAACAAATGGTGGCATTCTTACAATGTTGACGCGTTTTTCTAACTGAATTCCTTGGCATATTACCTAATAATCATATCATTTAAAAATTAGGTATCAATGCTAATTTTACTCTATCTATTCAAATACAGATTGAGTGAAGCCAATGAAGCCTGCCGGGAAAATAATAAACTAAGTCAAATGCTGAAAGCAAAAGATGCAAGATTAACAGAACTAGACAACARGTACGTGGTTTTGTCATTTCATATTTATGATTTCATTTTCGTTTTGTTTTCCATTTATAATTTATTTATTTATTTATTTATGCTCGTGTTTGTGTCATAAAACTCTCCGTTTTACCTTAAGCTTATCCTAAGCTACCTTATTCGTACTAATTTTCGCGAGCATTAAATTTCGTGAATTTGGAACACAAATATTCATCTAGCATTAATTTTCGTGATTTTGAAAAAAAGGATAAATTTAGTCCATTTAATTAATTTCGCGAAAATTGAAAATCTKGTGGACAGGCAGACTTAAAAATCATTTTTATTAAGGATTACTTCAACAATAATCGATTTACAATCAAACTTTTCGTATAAAGAAGTGAAGTGATGAAAGCAATTATAGAAGTGTACTAAATTTCGCGTTTTTAATTTTCGAGGATCCTTTTTTTCGCAAGGCTTTAATTTCGCGATTTTTTTTTAAATTAAATCCTCGAGAAAATTAGTACGAATAAGGTACCTTTCCGTATGGCATTATCTTTAGAAAGTGTATTGAAAATAAYATTACTTTAAATTTAACAGGATTCAGGTCCTTGAATCGTCGACTTCAAAGAGTGAAAAGCGAGACCAGGAAAGAAGCGACAAACTTGAAATTTTACAAAAGAGGTAAAGTCCACTGCACCAAGCTTATTATATAACCTGAGGCGAAGTCAGTGGCAGGAACTTGAAGGGGGATGAATAACTCAAGAGAAATAGTAAATCGATAGATTTAGCGCTGCGGAACTGAAAGAAACTGAAAGAAATTTATTTCAGATAACCATTGATTTAGTTTGTTTTTCAGATTTATAACTACTTTTCATTATGTCATGATTGTTATTTCTACATATCTGGTTCCCAAAGGGGTGGGGGTTGGGGGTAGTCACCCCCCTGGATCCAACCTTGGAATTATTGCAGTTTTTCTTTTATTACCTTCGGGTCAAAATAACAATATTCAGAAGTGCTTTATAGTKGGATGATTAAGCAACTAGACTGTGATAAATCTAAAACAAGATCTTTGTTTAGGCTGGAAGAAACGCTAAATCTCAATAATAAACTGGACAAATCAGTTCGCAAGAAAGAAGAGAATATTCGAATACTAGAACGAACATTACAAGCCAATGAAAAGAGGTAACAAAAGTGAAACATTTCTTTTACATTCAATGAAATTGCTGCTGTGCACTGGGTGCCGTGTTCGTCAACGAATTTCAGATCATTTGTTTACAACTGATCTTTAGGGAAGAAGAGTTGCAAGTTTTGCTGGAAACAAGAACAGAAAAGTTGTCAGAAAGTAAAAATAGGTTAGTTTCACAAGCGTATAATATAATTTGATGGTAACACGAAGAAAACTGATCCTCTTCTTTGTATAACCTTTGAATAACGCTATCTATGTGTAAACCTGACAAAATATCCGGATTAATGCCGAATTTCTACCAATCTGTGACATGTCCAACTGTTGASTGCAATTATAATATTTTTTTTCTGAATAAGCATGACGCATTGCATTGTTGTAGTTCATTACAGATATCTCTTGTTCATGCGGCCAAATATGGTGTTGTTTTTACTGAACGTAGACCACAATGCACCGTGCGTTTTGTAGGTTCAAAAGACATCTGGATTCACTATACGAAAACTATTTCAATGCGATTTTACTTTTAATGTCAGCGAATTTCTTCTTTTTCGGCATTATCTCAACTTAGGAAAATATCAGGATCAGTTGTCAGCTTCACTGCGCATGAACGCTTTATGGAAGTGTCCCCACAAAGTGCATTTTCGGCTCTAAACTGCACGTAGGATAGGGAACTTATTTACCAATGAATGTTTTTTTCATTGACAGAGTTATTGAACTGAACG